TCTTTTCAGCATGCTTTATCCTCACTCGTACGCTATCCAAGAAAACTTCCCAGGGGGTCACCCTTCATAAAATTGCTCCAAGCAGCACGCTTAACTGTAGAGTTTCTAACGATGAACTTCCGGAAAAGAAAGTGCACATTTTTTGTATGAGTAGCACCTATCAAATCTTTCAAACTTTCCTGGTTTGGGTATTACAATCACCCCCCGTTAGACTCGCGAGGTCCTTGTCGCGGTTGATCCATCTGAGGATCCATGGCCAAGCGTTGGGATTCTAGAGGTGGCTACTACGGGTTCAAGAGGTGGCTCACGCCCTATGGCGTAGCACTTTATCCCGCATAGCACTTAGTTCTTGATTTCGGCTAACAACCGGGCTCTGATACCATTTGTAACGACCCGATTTCTCGAAAACTCAAATTTTTTACTAATTCATAAAAATAAATACATCTCGAGCCAAAAACATAAAGACGATGTTTATTTATTCAACAATAAAAAAATGAATGTCTTTCAAAAAAAATGAAAGGACATTTATTCCAATGTCAACCTATATTTGAAGGCAAAACGAATGGATTCCCTTTTATTAATAAAATTTCTTCCGTCATCGACCGAATTACCAGCCCCAAACTCACGATCTCAATTTCCTAAAAAGGGGAAAATTTAACGGGGAGAGATTTTAAAAAAATCTCAATAAGTGTGTGCCGTGAATAAGTATTTTGCATTTAAATTAAGGAAAAACAAGATTTCATATCGTACATAGGAGATACGAGAATTACTCCAAACATAGGTTGTAGTAAACACAGTGCGTAGCGCTACTAAACTCCGACCTTCTTATCATAACCATACATGGCCCATAATTGGATTTCCAGAAATTAAATCAACAAAGTACTGATTCACGTAACCACATGCAACNCATAACCACATGCAACATCACTTACCTCGTAAATTTCGTAAGGATGGTACTAGCAATTGCTGTCATGCGCAATCTTGAAGTACATTAAATGGATTTGAAAACAGTCTTTCTAAATGGAGATTTGGACGAAAAAATCTATATAGAACTATCTAAGGGTTTTACTGCACCGAACTGGAAAAAATGTCTGTAAACTCGTGAAATCTTTGTATGGTTTAAAACAAGTACCAAAATAAGGCATAAAAAATTCAACAATACTATGATAGGATGTAGATTTAAAATCAATGAAAGCAATAAATGTGTTTATATCAAAGACACTGAAAATGGATATTTTATTCTGTGTCTATACATTGATGACATGCTCATTGTTGGTAGTAATGATAGGATGATCAAATCTACTAAAGATATGTTAAATTCAAGAGTTGACATAAAAGAAGTAGGACTAGCTGATGTTATTTAGGAATAAATATCTCTAGAATATCAGATGAGCTTGTCTTAAATCAGTCACATTATGTTGAAAATATTCTTGAAAAATTTAGTAAAGATGACACAGTGTTGCCAAAACAACAATAGATATAATTGTAAATCTATCAAGAATTGATTGGTAGTTTAATGTACTTAATGAGTTGTACAAGACCTGATGTAGTCTATGCAGTAAGCTAAGTAGATATATGAGTAATCTTAGAGAGCTGACCATTGGCAGACAATTGTAAGAGAACTAAGGTACCTAATAATACTCATAATTATGGATTGTACTATACAAAATATTTAGTTGTCCTAGTAAGATACAATGATCCAAACTGGATATCTGACATAAAAGATTCAAGGTCTACTAGTGTATATGTGTTCATACTATAAGGTGCAATTGTGTATTGAAAATCCTCGAAACAGGCTGTTATAGTCAGATCTACAATGAAATTCGAATTTGTTGCACTTGATAAATGTGGAGATGAAGTAGAATGGATAAGTCATTTCTTAGAGAACATTCCAAGATGGTCAAAGCATGTGCCTGGGATATGTATACATTGTGATAGTCAATCTACAATTGGCATGGCACAAAACAACATGTATAATTGTAAATCAAGACATTGAAGATATAATAGCACTAGACAACTAATCTTTACTAAAATTATCCTCATTGACTATGTAAGGTCAAAGGATAATATTGCTGATTCGTTAACCAAACGGTTGAATAGAGAGTTAGTTGAGAAATCATCGAGGGAAATGAGACTAAATCCTATGGAAGAATAGATCGATATAATGGAAACCCAACTTAGTTTACTGGAGATCCTAAAATCTAGGTTTAAAGATACAACTTAATTGCAAAGATCATGCTAGATTACTATGTAAATTCATCACAGTCCATTGATATGATGAAAATAGTGATACCCATAAGGAATAAAGGGATACGCTAAGCTTTTATGATCCTTATGTGTCAAAATATCCGAGTTGAGTAATTCACGTTACTCCTAATGAAGAGATTACCAATGTGAGAAAGAATAGGGCCACTTCAAAGGAGAATTACAAGGGCTTAATTCCTTATAAACTTTCATAGAATCAAAGAAATGTTCATGGTCAAAATGAACATACATATGAGAACTAACTTATGTTGGGAAGCAGCATGAGTGGAATGTGTCATCATTTACACAAATTGCATAATAGTTCAAGGACATCATGTCTACTAATTAGCTAATAAAGTAAATATACTAACATAAAAAAGGGTTCAAAGGGTAACACCTACCTATCTTATGCAGGTTTCAACCATTAAATTCTATCACCATGTATGTTTGTCATTGTTGTTAATTTCATTCATGTGGAGAATTATTGAAAAACATTCAAAAAAAAAAAAAAATGTGTTGTGAATGAAGAATACTTAATTTTGTATTAAATTGGTGGTTACAAAGTCTTGATGAATATTGTAACATTTTGGTTTTAATACAAAATTAATAAGAATTGAAATCCTCATCATCCTAGTACCATGTAAGGAGGTGTTCTCCTTATTCCACAACAAAAAAAAAACATAAGAGAGCTCTCTCCTCTCTCTCTCTCTCTAATTATCTCTCTTCTATCTTTGCTTTCAAGAGCTTTGTTTTGTAACCTAGATAATTATTTTCTAGGTCGGTAAGAAAATTGTGAGCATTCTTAATTTGCCTAAAATAGTGACGAGGTGCTAATCAGCTATTTTCAACCGTTGCATTCTAGGAGATAGATGTCATCAGTCCTCTTACACCATATTGGGGACAATTGAAAATTTCAAATTATGGGGGGAGAAAGCCAAAATGAACTTGAAAAATTTCTTAAATGTAACAAACTATATTGAGTTGTGAACAACTATTATGCGGTAGTTCAAAACTAGAATTGGCACAATAATGAGAAGTGGCGGCCCTTGCTCAATTTGGGTCAGAGCTTGATGCTGTGACTCAAGTATATTATTCAATAGAGTGCAAGGCTGACAAAAGATCGGCTAGACTCCTTAAGGATGCAGTAGTGGAGAATTTCTCGCAATGGCAAAAGCCTGACGAAGCAGTGTATCCACAAGTGTGAGAATTATTGCCGAAGGTAAAATTAACCCTTTTTTTCACCAAAAATGGCCTTTTGATTAGAAAATGTGAAAGGAGGCCATTTAAAAAGGTTACTTTAAAGATATTCCTCGTGAGAAAAGCTGGTGCAAAATCTCTCTTGTAGATGTGTGAATAGGTAGGGGTAGATCCCCAACTAGGCACAGGTAGTATTTGGAGGGAAAAAAAACTATTGAATTAGAACCATGCTACTGTGTCGGAATCATTGACATAACGATTGACATAATGCCACATGACGTTCTATCATTGGACTGTTAAAAACAAAATCATATTTTTCATCTAATCATCTCTCGCCATCTAAGATTGGGCACTATTTCTAGCATTATTCTCTGGCAAAGTAGTTTAAACCCTAAACCCATTGAATTCATAAGGGCCTAAGGTGCTCGATGTTGTCGGCTACGTACAATGCGGAATGAGATATTTAGGACCAAAAAAAGTATATTGTTGACTGCGTGGCGTTGACGGATATTTTTCCAATACCAGCAGGAAATGCCAGTCTTCTTTGTACGAGTGTATGGCCAAGTGTTCTATAGATTCTTTTCTTATCTTTTGACTTGATAGATAATCAGTCTATAATCAATAATGTACCCATAGTAGCAAAGATGATATTCAAAGAATTGGGTTCTTTTTAAAAGAGAGATTGCCCGGATTTCAAATGCATGGTCCTGATTTAAGTATAAAACAATGTTTAATTGAAGACAAACAAATGAAAAGTATTGTGGGAATCCTTTTTGGAAGAGCATGCTAAAATTGGTATCGAGACAGAATAACTTTTCATGCTCCCAAAAGCACAGCATCGCCAGTCCTCTCACTGTTATTCACATCTCACAACGTTAATCTTAATTAAACCTTTTGCAACTCATCAAGGAACCAATGGGTACACCAAGCCATTTCAAGCAGAATAACTATTCTAATTTTTCTTCAATTTCTGCTTCAATGCTAGTAATATATAATCACCATTTCTACTGAGCAGAGCAGATAGATGCCACATGGTGTGTTTTACCAGAGGAAACTAAGAACCGAAGCCTTGGAGTAATGGGGATTCTATACTAATTTGAGCTGCACTTTCGTCAACATCAGTTTATGAGCTTTTTATGAGTTAGAAGAAAAAACAGTCGTCTCCCATCTATCCACAAAAGAAGCTGTCACGGTGAGTGATTTTTGGCAGACAGAACAAACAGATCCTCTTAACGTTGATGTAAAAAAAGAAGGAAACTTGGTGATTCCAGATAAAAGATGTCTACAAAAATAATGTAAAACTAAAACCTGCACCATTGATCTCATCAGCTTGTTCACATCAGCATTACTTGCTTACAACTGGCAAATCAAGAAACTAAAAAATGAGAAATCAAATCCGTCAAAAACACCGCTCAAAGTACTTCAGTTTATCAAATATTTTGCATGAGCCAACTCCATCCAATTTGACGACATGAACATCTCCCTGGCAAGGGAGTTGCCTCCAAAATATATTTGATTTCCAGGACGCCTGAAGAATGTTAGGAACCAAAATTCTTCATTCAGAAACTGTTCAATTGAGTGAGCATAGACACAAGTTCGTCACTTGAAGGGCGATCTGCAGGCAAATCAGATAGGCATACAACAGCAATTCTAACAGCCATTAACATTTCATCTTCTTCAATTTCTTCCCTGAGGATACTCTTATCTAGTGCTTCAGAAGCCTCCCCTGCTTGCTGCAGACGACCAAGCCATTGTCCCAAACTTCCTCCACAATTTGCTTCCCCCAAAAAAGGATCTAATGGGTCTTTACCAGTTAATAGAACACCCAAGATCGCCCCAAAGCTAAACACATCACTCTTATCTGTATACCTAGTGCAAATTACAATAAAATAAATATCCACTTTCACAAATAATATCAAATAAAAGACCGCGGTGAAAATGTACAAACCCCACAACGAAAGAATCTAACAGGGTATACGTAGTTAAATCCATAAAATCATTTACAACTCCTAGATTAGGATAAAGTGGAACATAAGCAGAGCTTTTTGACGAATTAATTGATTTGACTAATCATTTCTTCTCCAACGTGGGACACAAATGCCCTATCTTCAAGAATTAAGATGAAATTAATTTTCATCTATGTGATGCGTTCTATTTAAACTTTTCCCTAGTGCTTAAAGCACTCTTAGTTTCCAGTAGAATACAATTATTTTAGTTGATACAGAGAAGAAATGGAAAAACAAATAAAAGTTTTACATATCATCCAGCCTTTTTTTTGAAGATCATGCTATCAATTAAGATTCATCTGTATACATATATTGACAGGTCAAGATAATAATTGTTAAAGAAGTGCAGATAATGCAAACTGATGGGAGAGTAGTAGAAAAACCAATTATCAATTTGGAAATAGTTTTTTCTTTTAACTTATAAAGTATAACCATCACCTCTAATCAAGCTAGATAAACCAAGTACATCGACGGCCAAAATTGATTCAAAAAACTGAAACTAACAAACATGAATATGCTAAGTGATTGCCGATTAAAAATTGTTCTAAATTTCACACTAACCTATTAACCTATAATGTATATTAAAGTAGAACAAACCAATTGTGCTGGTTATTTCTAAATTTCAATACCTGTCATTCAGATAGCACTCTGGAGCACTGTAGCCTGAAGCTGCTCTAACAACACTCGGAATAATCATAGCCAAGCCATAATCTGCTAACCTTGGTTCAAATTGTGAGTCCAACATCACATTTGAGGGCTTCAAGTTGTAATGCAATCTTCTTGGATCACAAGTGAAATGAAGATACTGCAGCCCCTTAACTATGCCAACTGCAATTCGACGCCGTAATTCCCAATTAAGTTTCAATTGATTTTCCCTCACTCTTCTCAATGCATCTTCAAGACTACCAGTTGGGGCATAATCATAAATCAAAGAATACCTATCGAATTCACGAATATAAGCCCTCAAACTCATCAAATTCGAATGCCTTAAGCTAGCAAGAATTTCGAGCTCCTGCTGTATCCTTCTCTTGACTGACTTGCTCTGAGCTTCAATAGAAACATTCTCAAAGGGCTCGAGCTGCTTGACCGCAACAGTGAGGCCATTGTCCAGTACAGTCTTGTAGTACTTCCCGTTGGGACTTGATCCTAGCAACTGGGGTTCATTTGCAAGAGCTGACTGTAGAGTCTTGGGAGGAATTTTGGGAGAGAACACAACAGGGCCTTTAAGGATTGGGCTCCTGTTAATGTATCTGATAAAGCACCTTATTAGAAAAGCAGCAAGAAGCGCAAAAATCAATCCTGCTATGACTCCAAACAAAATGCTCAGAGAAATTCTCCTAAGCTTATTATTGAATTCTGGTGGCTCAGATTGTGATGGAGGGTCACTGTCGCTGGAGTTGTACTTGCTGATCTTTTCTAAGCATTGCACAGAGATAATGTTGAAGCAAAAAATAAATAACAAGTCTAGCTTTTGGCCTTTACTGCTACTAGTATTGTAAAATTGCCTCTTCTTCTCCATAAAAGCAGAATCCTTGATGTCAAAACACAGAGCATAACCTCAAAATACTCCAAATTTTAACACCCAGATGAATAGTCAATTTCTTGAGCTGAAAAGGGTTGGGAATGTCGAACTAAATCACTTACGAAGGTCAAAGAAAGAAAAACAATTCTTGGGTTTTTGTCTTATTGAGCAGCAGCAGCAGCAGAAACTTGAAAGGAAAATGCATCTTCCCAAGAAAAAGTTAAAAAGAAAAAAAGAAAAAAAAAATACAGGTTCTGGAAGAGAGGAAAAAGAACCTTTAAGCTCCAAACAAGGCTTGAAATTACAATACTTGAGGTTGAGAATCAGAACCATATAATGGCGTCGGAAAATTTTCAAAGAGGAAGAGAAATGGAATAATTACTGTATCACATATTCTAACGTTTCCACTAGAATATCACCTCAAATCTTCACCATTTATCTCCGAAATATTTCGTCCTTCGAATACAGAGTATTAAGAGAAGACCGAAAACCCCCACCGATCCAATGTGGGCCTTTTTTCTTTTTTTTTTTTTTTTAGAAAAACAATATTTTTAATGGTGAATTTTTGGAGACCAAGGGTGTGTTTGAATCACATTATTTTGAAAGAATGTATTCTAAAATAATAGATTGATGGAGAATGTGTGATTCAAAAAGAAGGAGATATTATTGATTTGATGGAAATTATTATTTTATTAAAAAATGTGTGGTTGAAAATGAGTAAAAGAATGATAATGAAATTTTTAATGTGACTCAAACAGCCAAATATAAAATATTTTATACCAACGTGTGATTCAAACTCCATGTGTAAAAGAAAAAAAGAATTTTGAAACCAACGGCCCGGTAACTAGCGTTTCTCACAAGTAATATGACAGGGAAATTATTGAAGTTACCAAAATTCAATCATATCCTTTCCAAAATAGCCTTTGACTTTTTAAAACCTTATAACTACCTAAAATACCCCTAAAGATAACAATTACATCCAAGCTACCAAAAATAAGAAAAGAATACAACCAAGCCCAAGATTTTAAAATGACAAATAAAAATTATAAAAAAACCTAGAACTAAAAGAGGACCATACAAGATTAAGAAAATTACAAAAGATACAAAAGAAATTGAATTTGAAAATAAATTTAATAAAATTGGATATCAAAAACAATTGAATGTATCTCAAAAAATATTAAAATATTTTAAAGAAAATATGATAGAAAACTTTGCTAAAGAAATAGTAAGATCTATAATAATAAATGATATACAAAATATTATTGACAAACTGGAAAAAAGAAAAAAGAATATTTTAAAATACGATATACCTTTTAATCCAAATATAGATATAATAACAGATCTTGATATTATAAATTCTCAAATATTATTAGATTTTGAAGATTTACTTAATACGTTATAAATTCGGAATATCAATAGAAAATTATTTTAAGATTTTAAAAGATTATTAGATTTTTGGTATCAGAGCCATATAGGATCTAAAAAAAATCACAAAAATACAATTACTAAAAGGAAAAATCATTAAAATAAATAAATAAATAATGGAAATCGAAGATTTAGGTAATAGATATAGAATAATACAAGAAAGATTTAACATAATTATATCAAAACCAATATCATGTAATAAAAGAGTAACAATTACACTAAAAATTCTTGAAAAATTACCTATAGAAATAAGACAATTTATAATTGAAAAAATAAAATTAGGAATTGTTATAGATATGCATACTTGTAAAATAATATTAGAAACTTATGAATAAAATATGTATAATTCAATTGTAGAAGAAATAAATAGGTATAAATAAAAAAGTTATAGAAGTTACAATTAATAAAACAGGCTGGTATTATATATTAGAAAATAATCAAGGAAACTATATAATAGAACCATTACCTAAGAAAATAAAAATAGAAACATTAATTATAACTAAAGAATTACCCAGAGAAATAAGAGAACAAATATTAAATAAATTAATAATAAGATATTTAATAGATGAATATATGTACTATAAAATTAGAAAAGAAATTGAAAAAGAAGAAATAATGCTTTATTACAGAGAAAATTATGGATTTACATGAGAGAATAATGCTTAATACAGAAAAATTTAGAGAAACACTTGATAAAGATTATAATACAATATATAAATTAAACCAACAAATAGAGGATGTATGGTTAATACCAGAAGAGCAAGAAGAAGAAAATAGACCAAAAAAGTTGACAAGTGGTCAAGAAAAACAAATATTAAAATTAAAACAAGAAAAATCTAGAATAAAAGATAGATATTATAAGAATTTGACACGACTCCCAACTACAGAATATGAAAAATTCTTATGTAATAAGAAAGCAATAGAATCAAAAGATATTGAATGTAAATTATTTTATCTAACTCAATCAAAGAAAAGATAATGAATAATCAAATTGAAGATCTAAAAACATTAATAAAAATGTTAATAACTGATGTACAAGATTTAAGAAATAAAATAAAAGAAGAATTAAATATACTAAAAATTGAAATTATGGAATTAAAAGAAAATAATAAATGTAGAGACAAGAAAATAGATAAAAAAAACTTATAGAAAAAGAAATGTCAAGAATTGGAAAGAAACATATAGAACAAGAAAACCTAGTAATAGAAGCAGAAAGTATGAACGATAATTTTAGAAAGAATATTTTACCAAAAATATTAGAGGAAGAAGAAAATTTCAAAAAGTTACAAAAAAGAGGAAAAATTGTAAAAGAAATTCAAGAATAAAAAAATGAATGAAGAATTAGATTTACTAATAGAAAATTTTGATCAACTAAATTTAGAAAATATGGATGAATACCAAGTTCTAATAAATACTGAAGGAGGACCTACCCCAGGAGGAACCTCTAATCAAAAATTTGATCCATATGAAAGTTATGCACACATACATAATAAATCATACAAACAATTCTACGATAGAGTAAGAGATAGATAACCACCCAAAGGAAATAAATATAAAGATAGATTTGAACTAAATGATAATTATGATAAGCCAATTAATCATGGAGGAGCAAAATTAGACCTAGATTGTAAAATAGATACTAAGAAAGCCTCATTATCTTGGGCAGATTCAATGATACTATTTTTTTTTATATAAAAAAAATGATACATGAGAAAATACAGAAAGAAGAATAGATTTCTTAACATCATTTAAAGGAAATGTTAAAAATTGGTGAGCAGGAGTAAATAATGATACAAAATCATTAATGAGAAGAAATATACAAATAGAAATAATAAAATCAGATAAAGAGGGAATAGAAAAATTAGTAGCATATATTGCAAGTAAATTTTTAGGAGAAGAATGGATTAGAAATTTTGAAGAAGAAGCAAGAAGAGAAAAAGAAGATGCTATGATGAAATTAATAAATTCAACAATTTGTGATTTGTGTAAAATAAAATAATATACCTTTGAATTTAAAAATTACTATTATTTACAATTCTATAGTAATGAAAATCAGGAAGTATACTTAGATATGTATTATACTAAATTACCAGGAATATGGGAAATATATTTTAAAATAGAATTTGAAAAATACCTTAAGGATAATATAGGAATACCAAGAACTTTAGGATCAAGAATAAAATTTATATTTGATAGACTTGTATATATATGTCAACAAAGACAATTATTAAAAAGATCATAAAAATTAACAAGAATATGCTGTGAAGATACAGAAAAACCTACACAATGGGGATGTTATCTTGAAAGAAAAAATAGGAGAAAACATAAAAATAGGAATTTACAAAATTCAGAAATTTTAAAAAAGGGAATATAAAACCTTGAAGAAGATACTATAAGAGAATGTTTAACCCAAATAAACAACAAAAGAATAAACTTTATAATAAAAAAAGATAAAAGTCAATACAAATGTTGGAATTGTGAAGAAATATGTCATATAAGTCCAGATTGTAATAAAAAGAAAGTGAGAATATCACAAATAAGATATTTAGGAATAGAAGATGAATTAAGTGAAATATCTGATATTGAATAATATTATGATCAAGAAGTATATATAAGTGAAACAGAATCAGAAGAAAATGAGTCAGAATCTGAATACGGAGATTGAATAAATAGAAAACAATAATATAGAAACACAGGAATACGACGGATATGGATTAAAGGTAACCTTTGATAATAATAAATTCAAAAAATTACAAAATCTATCTTTAGATTTGAAAGTAGGAAAATTGAAAATTTTTTACAAAATTTGGAAAAGAGAAAAAATAGTTATAAATGAATATCATAAGATTGAAAAAATTATAGATGTTAGAACTCAAGGAACACATAATTAAATATTTTAACAAAAAACACAATTGATGAGTGATTATCAAAAATTAATAAAAAATAAAGTGAAAAGATTCAATATATTTATTTAGCAGGAATACAAATAATGTTTAAATCATTATTTAGAGAATGAATATATTCACCATTAACAGGAAGTCTACGTGATGGAAGAATAATAAATTTAAGAAATAATCATTTAGGAACCATAGAAGGAAACTTAGCATATAGAAAAATGATATTTACTTGTTATCCAAAATATTGTATCTCATTAAAAGATAAAAACTTTAATGAAATTTTAGGATTGCATTTTAAGTTACATATGAATGATATAATGCAATCAGGAGACCAAATTATGACTATTAAATATAAAGCTTTATATACATTTACCAACTCTAATTATGAGAATATTTATTATAAAAAACTATATATAGAAGTTCATAAAAAATGTAAAGATATTAGTAAAATTATATAACCAAACAAACAGGTAAACTTAATTACAAAGGAATATGAATTTATGATATCAACTGATAAACCTAATATAATAGAATTTAGAGAAGAAGAATACCCTGATAAAAATATAATATTTAAAGATTGAAAGTTAATTAGAAGATCGACAAGTCATAGAATACCTAATAGAAAATCATTAGGAGAAACTAGTCATACAAGATAAATGAAACTATATACGAATA